TGAGTTATTGAAGTTGTCCTAAATATATTCTGGAAAGAGAAAATATGGCCTAAGCTGCATCTATTAAAAAAACTAAAACTAAAACTAAAATAACTTAATCAAATCTGCTGGTATAGTTTCTTGTTCTGTATTTTTGTGTCAACTGAATTCCCCACCTTGCTGTCAGGTATTGATAGAACAACAGCAAAAGAAAGGGTTTTTGTTTGTTTGTTTGTTGTTTTTGTTTAACAAGAGGATGTTGAGCTGGCTTCACATGTTCTTAAAACAAAAGTCAGATATTCCTTGACTTATGTCATACAGGCCTATATGGGCCTCTATAATGTGAGCAGGATTAGAAATCAATAAAATAACTATTAAAGAAGTTTACAGGTACAAACTTTTTTTCATTTCCACAAGAATTTACTTATGATGGCAAAAGAATAGATAATACAAACATTGTACTTAATTACTTATTTATGCCTAAAAGTGAATTCTTGATCTCTTACACCTACCCAACATATCCATCCCCACTTTTTCCCATTTCAATTATGGCAAATTCATTTTTCCAGTTTCCCAGAACACTTCAGTCATCCTTTACGCCTCTCTTTCTCTAGAACACCCAATCCAATCTGTCAGGAAATCATATTGATTTTGAAATTATATCGAGAATTTAACCATGTCTTATGGAGACTACCGTAATCATCCTAGTGCTAGCTACCAGCACCTCTTGCCTGGGTTACTGCAATAAGACCTGTACTCCACAGACTATGTTTAACCTGGCAGCCAGAATAATTATTTTAAAACCTAAACTACATCATGTCAATCCTCTACTAACAGCCTGCCTGTCCTAGGCACATAGGCTCCTACCATCTGGCCTCCTAGTACCTCTGTGACCTCACATTATACTATTTCTTTTTTCTTTCTTTCTTTCTTTTTTTTCCTGGGTCATTTTTTTTTTTAGGGAAAATGGCCTCTGGCCATTCCTACAACTTAGTAGGTTTGTTCTCAATTCAGGGCCTTAGTGTGGGTTATTCTCACTCTCTGGAGATATCTGCAGATATCTCTTTCTTTAGATATTTGCAGCTACTTCCTTCACCTTCATCAAGTCATTATTCAAATGTCACTTTCTCAGTGAGGCCTACCCTGCTTGCCCAATTTAAAAATGAACAATTCTCCCATTCCTCCTATGCTTTTCTCATTCCTTATCCCTTCCCTGTTGTATAAATTCCGCCCCCTGTTCTGTTACACCCATGGCTTTCTAACACATTATTTTATTTAGGTATATTTAATTTATTGTTCAACTACTCCTACTACGTTTGATAATGGCAGAGATTTTTGTCTGTTTTGTTCACTGCTATATCTGCAGCTCCTAGAATAATGTCAGGCACATGGTAGGCCTACAATAATTATTTGTTGAATGAGTGAACTAATAAGCACCCATCACTTACACTCAGTGAATAGACCTTATCTTCAAGGGGAGAAATGTAGAAGTTGTTTGTTTCCAGAACAAGAGAATTATATACTGGATTCCATGGGAATGAAAGCAGCTAAGTTTCCATATGTCTAGAGAGTTCAGGGGCTTTTTGAAACCCTGATAGTGTATGATTCCTTTCCCGTTCTAAATCTCAAAACATGATCATTTTCTCAGTAGCGGACTAATTTTAAAAGATCCTGGAGTGTTAAATCTGCAATGAGAGGTTCCTAAGAGAATGGATCATGATTACAGTTCTACAAGCTGCTCAGAATTATTAACATTTCTTCTCTCATCACTGTAGTGCTCTTCTTAATTTGAAATCTATGAACATAATTTGGAAGGTATGGGAAGCCACTTTGATTACACCTTGAATAATTATGTGATACACCCCCCTCCTGTATTTCAATAGATTTGATTTGTGTATGTTTTTCATGTTGGTCTTTTTTTTTAAGCACACAGTAGCAGTTGAATATCCATGTCAGCCTACAACGAGAGCCTTGAATATTCTGTACCTTTGGGTAGCACAAATACATTGAATGCTGAAATTATTTTGTACCACTTTAACCTCCATCCTTGGTCATTCCTATTTTATTTTATTTTATTTTTATTTTTAATTTTTTTATTTTTTAAGATTTTATTTATTTATTTGACAGAGAGATACACAGCTAGAGAGGGAACACAAGCAGGGGGAGTGGGAGAGGGAGAAGCAGGCTTCCCGCTGGGCAGGGAGCCCGATGCGAAGCTCCATCCCAGGACCCTGCAGGGATCACAACCTGAGCCAGAGGCAGATGCTTAACGACTGAGCCACCCAGGTGCCGGTCATTCCCATTTTAAAGGAGCATAGAATTTTAGGGCTACAAGGTTTTCGTTCATTTGGTTTGATCACCTTATTTTACAGAAATGAAAACGGAGGCCCAACAGTGCTAAGCAGCTTGCCCAGGTACCACAGAACTGAGTAATCTTTTTGGTCAGAACAACTTGTTCTAAATGTAAAGCAAGCTGGAATTGAAAAAAGCTTTTAATATCAGAAAATTAATTGAATATCACAACAATTGCAATCTGCAGTTCTAAACAATATGCAGTTCTACACAGTTTATTTCCATGGTGACTTTATAAGCCACTACTTGGAAATCTAAGACAGAGAGAGCAAAGAACAAAATAATTGATAAATGAGAAAAGAAAGAGCTTCTTTCAGGCATCCTAATAAATAAGAGTCACATGGATCACAAAAGAAAAAGAATTTGCAGGTCACCTGCAGTGAACTTATGAGTCCACATGAGGAGAAGAGACCACTTCATCATAGAGATGTTTCCATATTAGGCATAGCGTCTGCTATCTGGAGAATTAGGGTTTCTTTCATTACCTAACCTAATCATTTTTAGGATGCCAAGAGGCATGTTTACTTAGATGACTGCACTTTTTTTTTTTTGCACTAGTGACTATATGAAGGTTATTATGCCAGAGGAATGTGAAAGTCTATGGTAACAATGCTTCATTTTCCTTTAACAGCTCTGTTTAAGGGACAGAGACATTTTTGTGGTGTGATGCATTCACTTGGTCTCCTGGCGTTTTCTCCACATGCTTTGGAAATCATGTATTTTTCTGAGAGATAGTAGTCGTGAATGTCTTAATTTCAGCAACAGCTTCATTGTTTTAACTTTGTTTTAATTAAGGTACCCTAGTAGCCTTGATAGTTTAGGATACTTGATATTAACCGAATGGAAGATATTTTGACCCTTTGTGTACAGCAGTGCTCTCAAACTACAAACAAAATTATGGCTAAATCAAATTTTTAAAATGGATTTTAATAGATTCCAGGAGGTAGGAACACTAGGATAACTCATGTGACTTCAAAGCTAAGATCTCTGCCAACAGCACAATTCGCAATTTCCTAAGAGTGAATTTTTGAGTTCCTTCTACCAGTGCCTGGTTTAATTCAGTTTCCGTTCTCCATGGCTCACTTTCATTAACTCCTGTTGTGTGTGATTATATGTAGGTTAGACACCAGTAGCCTGAGAGTAAGAAGATCTGGGTTCTATTCTGAAAAGTTAGGTCAAATCTGGCCTCCACGTGATGCAGGTAAAACTCCCGTGCAAGTACTATGGCAACATTAACTGAATGTAATTTTAATTGAAACGATCTGCTTCGTGTTATATTTCCTTAGATGTAATATCAGTTTTTGTCTTCATTTTCTCCTAATTATTTTCTTGGTAACATACTTGAAAGGGCTTTTCAACTACTGTATAAATTGGTTTTCTTTTGTAAGAAATGATGACAATTCTGTTACTTTCCCTTCCGTATTCTTTACCCTTGGCCCAGCATTGCATTAAGCCCTGATTTACACATTATGATGAGATTTTTACATCCTAAATGTATTTATTATTTTGGAATTTTAAGTATTTGGCAAATTGTGAAGTGTTGGGGAGATTAAAGAGAACTAAGCACAAAATTAACAGCAGACTCGACTACGACCCAGAGGAAATATTCAAATAAGTTGCTATTTTAAAAAACGGAAGCAATTAGGAAGAAAAGATTATGTCAGAACACAAATATTCATAGGCAAGAAAATAACTGAAGCTATAATGCTTTAAAAGACATGATGAAGGTTCGTAGTTGAATTTCTGTGAAATACTTTATAATATTTGACGTCACAGGAGTGGACGTAAGCATGGATGATAACTCAGTTTTCTTTCCTAAACAGCTGAAAACAATGTTAAAAATATATATAACAAGACTTCATATACTGAAGTAATTGACTATTGTATTAAAGAACTACATCTATAGCACTCAAATTGAGAGCACAGGACAGGCAGCTCAATAGTGGGGGTACAAGATTTAAAAATTAGGAACAGGCCAAAATCCTAAGGAAAAATAAAAATAGGATCATCCAAAAACAACAACAAACCACCCCGTGATATAGGAAAAGATTTCCATTATAAAAACGCGGTCCTTAAATGCCTGAATTTGGTAAAATGAGTCTGGCGATGGGAGTGAGGGGTATTCATGGTGGACCATCGTCGTCTCGCACCGCCTCTCCAATGACTTTGCTGCAGAGGCAGGGCGGGGAATGGTGGTGCTCGGGAGCTTGCAGAAGAGCTGGGAGTCTCACGGTCCCAGGGACACCCCGGCACTGCGGTCCCTTGGGGGAGCAGGTCTTTTGGGGCTCTCCGTTTCCCTTCCCCATCCTAAAAGCACAATCCGGTTAAGACTCCGATTCACCCCAGTTCCTAGACAGAAGCTTACACAGGACAATCTCTGCCCTGAAGCTGAAAAGAAACTTCCAGTGTAAGTCACCCAGCCGCTCGAAAACCCTTGCCCTGTCAGCTCCATTCTTAAATAGAACGGCCTGGCCCTCGAACACCCTTGGATTCTCAGCTCAACTCCACTGCTCTCCCGGCAGGGCCCGCTTCGAGGCCCGCCGCCCGGATCAGGGTCACCCGCCGCCAGGAACGAGGGGGCGGGTGCGCTCCACGACGCCCCGCCCCCGGCGAGCGTGGCGGAAGTGGCTTGCTCGGGAAGGGAGACCACGGCCACCTGGCCGAGCGCGCATGCGCCAGTGCCCGCGCAGCTAGTGGTGGGGGCGTCTGCAGCGCTCCCTCCTCCGGCTCCGTAGCCCCCGCCCCACGGAGAGTCGGGCTCACGCCATTTTGTGCCCCCCCACCTCTGCCCGGGCCGAGCCACCTTCTCCCTTTCTACCCTCTCAGCCCTCCACCCCGCCCCTTTCCAAGCGTGTCCCGGCCGCCGCAGCAGAAACCGCACCATCTCTCCCCACGTTCTCCACGCGGGACGTGCCGCCGTGCCTACAAGTGTTCTTTAAATCAGAGGTTGTAGGGGGTGCGGGGGGCGGTGCGGGGCGGGCGGGGAGAGGTCTGCGAACCGGGAGGGACGGCGCGTGGCGAGCCCCGCGTCTTTGGGCCCCGGTCCCACCCTGGCCCCTGCCCGAGGGCGGCCGCGTGGGAGGAATGGGCGTTTGCGCTTAAGGGCTGAAGGGAGGACGGTCGTGTGAGGCGCTGGCCGGCTCGGCAGCCGGTCCTCCCGCCGAGCGTGGAGCTGGCTCTTGACTCCTCCCCGTCGGCGGGTGGGCGTGGGGCAAGGGGAGCTGGGCCGGCCAGCGGGAGCTGGCGTGGCTGGGGTGTGTTGGGTACCTTTCGCGCGTCCTGTAGCTAGTGTTTTGCTGGGAAGAATCTTTACGGAAGGAGATTGCTTTATGGGCAGGGTGGAAGAAGCGTTGGGTAGCGTTAGGAAACGTGTAGCATCCAGGAAAACGAAAAGCTCCGCTCTTCTCTGTGGGCTGTGCCCACATTTGTGACCCCTGGGGAAATTATTTAGCCTGCTTTTGGCTGGGTGTTCCGGTCTGTAGATGGGGGTAGTAATAGCCTAGTTTAGCACCAGGCACTGATCAATTACATGTTAAGTGTAATTCATTTTAGTCTCTATGTTTCAAGAAATTCAGAATGACTGTGACCCTGTTTTCTAAATTAAAAATCAAGACGCTTGAATGTCCTATAAGCGAGAGTAGATTTATAGGAACAGTGGAATGTGATATCTGACACTCAGAGGCGACACTGACATGTGTTGTTAATGTACACGTGGATAAATTAGCATACCTCCGTGAGGCTGATACAAACTTTAAACTGTTTCGTTTGAAAGAAATTAGTATATATTTATCTGGGTGGAAAGGACCTAGGGTTTTAGCCTATGTTAGGAGTCAGAACTTTGGAAATGGAATTGAGTGAACCGTGCAGTGATTTACTTGAAGACCAAATTGAGGGCGGAACTCCTGGAATTTCTGGTGGATGTTTCAGAGAGACAGGATTTGACTATCAACAGTTTTTTGATGGTACTTTGCAAAAAGAGAATGCACTTCATTATTGCAAATTTCTTATCTCTGGGAATATTTAAGCAAAGATCTAGAGCAGCCAAAGCCTAAGCAGCAATGTCCAATACTGTAGAACTTTCTGCCATGATGGAAATATTCTGTAATCTGTGCTGTACTAATATGGTATGCACTGGCCTCAGGTGGCTCTTGAGCACTTGAAATATGGCTAGTGCACTGAGGAACTTAATTTTAAATTTTGTTTTAATTAATTTAAATATAAATAACCACAAGCGGCTGGTTGCTGCCTTATTGGACAGCCTTAAGCTTAGAATTTAGACTTTGAGATCCCTTCCAATTCTTGATTTGGTTGAGTTTTAAGTCAAAGAAGACAGCTCTTGGAACTTTTATTGCCTTAGGGAATCATAATTATATTCAAATAATGCCTTTTGCTCAAATACTATAGTTCAAAGCATGGGTCTGTTAGTACTTATTTACAGCTTGACAGATTAAAGCAAATCATTCTTTTTACTCCTTAGGTTGTACAGCTAATGCCAGATTCATCTGGAGAGCCATAGCAATACTATCTGGCATTTCCTTTAATCATTATTGTACCATATTGTGGCCATGGATTTTCACTGTCTTTTATCATTTTGGTTAGGTTTAGTGAAAACTTTTCAACTTTTTTGTTCCTGAAGTTTTTTTCCATTTGAAAGGTGGTGTTTTTTTGTTTTATAACTTCTGTATAGTAAAGCAAATTGATAGTTTCTAGTAGTAACCTTTGAGCATTGGGCCATTTTATTTTATTTTTTAAAGATTTTACTTGAGAGAGAGCTCTAAGTGGGGGGAGGAGCAGAGGGACAGGGGAAGCAGTCTCCCCACTGAGCAGGGAGCCTGATATGGGGCTTGATTCCAGGACCCTGAGATCCCGACCTGAGTGGAAGGCCGACATTTAACTGTCTGAGCCACCCAGGTGCCCCACATTGGGCCATTTTAGAAATAGTTTTGTGGTTATTGGTATTCAGAACTTTTGAAGAGATAGTCTGAAACTTGGTGATATTTGTTAGATTTCTTTCTTTGATATATGTAGATCTTTTTTTCCCTTTTTTTTTTTTAAAGATTTTATTTATTTATTTATTTGAGACAGAGAGAATGAGAGAGAGAGAGCACATGAGAGGGGTGAGGGTCAGAGGGAGAAGCAGGCTCCCTGCCGAGCAGGGAGCCCGATGCGGGACTTGATCCCGGGACTCCAGGATCATGACCTGAGCCGAAAGCAGTCGCTTAACCAACTGAGCCACCCAGGCGCCTCTTTTTTTCCCTTTTTTTAAAGCAGATGTCTATAAAGTTAAGTTTGAGAATAAAACATAAAAAAACCTTTTTTTATAGATAGCACCCTTAACTCTGGCCTAGTGTCTGTAAAATGGTGTCCTTGATCTCAAGGCTGAAGATACTCGCTAGATCTGGGCCAAAAACTTAAAGCTCATGGATTAAGCATATACAGAGAATAGCCTATAACATACAAATCAAAATGGGTTGCTCTTATATAGGATGATTATATACCCCATCTTCTCTGCGACAGTCGTTGTTTAGGGCCTGTTTGTCCTGGCATAATTATTAATAGAGCCCCTTTCATATAAAAAATGTCCCAGTTGGTACCACATAAAAATATCACCCTACTTTTATTCTTGTTGAAATTTGTAATGTGTAATTTTAGGAGGATTAACCATATTGCAGTCTCACAAAAGTACTAAAGTACTGAGAGAATTATTGCTTGTGTGCGTAAATAATAGATAAGATATCTGGAATAAGGCCAGCAAGTGACCTGTCCATTTAAGCCACTTGTAATTACAAATTTTTGCTTCTCTCCTTATATTGAATGGAAATCTTGGGCAGGTTGATTTTTGTTTTTTTCTACATAAATGATTTTTTGGTATAGGAGGCTGCAAAGAAAGTCAGACCATGTCAGTCAAATCAGAAGACTTGAGTATTCTTGTTGAAAATAATACCCATTTTATTTTATGGTGAAGTTGACTAGTGAAGTAGGTCAGAAATCTGTTTATTATGCATTTAGAATGTTCAAGAAGGATTTTGCTTATAGTTCACTTAAATAGTAAAGAAAAATACTTCAGCCAAATGCATTATTGTAGTAATTTATACTGTGGTAGGTAAAATGTTTTATTGGGAGTCAAACACACTTGGTTTGAGTCCTTACTCTGCTGAGGATTAAAGGAGGTAATCCATGTGATGCATTGCGTACAGCAAAGCACATAAGAAGTAAGTGCTCAATAAATATTAGCTGTTTTAGCCTTAAGTTTATTAATTTTTTTAAAGATTTATTTATTTATTTGAGAAAGAGGGAGAGCACAAGCAGGGGGAGTGGCAGGCAGAGGGAGGGGGAGAAGCAGGCTCCCCGCCGAGCAGGGAGCCCGATGCGGGGCTCGATTCCAGGACCCTGGGATCATGACCTGAGCCGAAGGCAGTCGCTTAACCAATTGAGCCACCCAGGCACCCCTTAAGTTTATTGGATAAAGGATCTAGAAGAGATATTGACGTTTTGAGATACATTGTGGATAGGTGCAATAAGTTCTTAAAACTAATTCTGAAAACCTCAGGTTCATCCTTCTGTACCATATTCTCTCTTTGTGACTTCAGTTAAAGTATTTAACCTCTCTGAGCCTCGATTTCTTCTTCTGTAAAATGGAATAAGTATCTCAACTCATCTTAGCCTTCTCACAGGATTGTTGAAGACTTCAGAAGAGAATTACACAAGTTGTCTTGCTTTACAGATATTTTATTATTTAATTAGTTTTGTCTCAGCTTGTCAACCTACTATCCCTAGTAAAGACTGACCTTAAATCTGCAAAAGTTGTTGTGTATTTTTATTTGTAAAACAGTGTAGGGTATTATAGGCACTACCTGAGGTTGCTCTCTTTAACAATACTGTAAATCATGGTATTGGTGCTTTACTGATCTGGTTGCAATATATTTTCTTTTTTTTTTCCCCACTATTTATTTATTTTAGTGGGGGCGGGGCAGAGGGAGAGAGAATCCTAAGCAGGCTCCACAATGAGCACGTAACCCGACTCAATCCCAGGACCCTGAGATCATGACCTGAGCTGAAACCAAGAGTGGATGCTTAACCGACTAAGCCACCCAGGTGCCTGTGATGTATTTTCTGCACAAAACAACTACGTATTACTGCTAAGGGAGACCCAACATTTTAATGGACATTTGATGTATTCCATCTACTGTGCAAAATGCTGTATCTCATTTGTTTATCCACACATGTCATTCCCACTTAATAGGTGATACTGATGAGGCTGTTCCTTTCTGGAATGGTTATGTCAGTTTTTTCGTGTTATACTACTGCCTCTGATAATATCTGGCTGATAGTGGATATTGAAGGTTAAATAAGGCAATGAATATGAAAATAGCATGCTATCTGGCATATAGTATGTAGTAGCTGCTGAAAAAAATGGTTGATCATTAAATTCATAGGGCAGTAAATTGAAAGAATTTATGTGAATGTACTTTATAAATGCAAAATACTATACAAATATAAGTTATTTAAAAATCTTGAAGTGTACTCTTGTTGTTTTAAATGCTATAGAGGTCTTATGACTGAAGATTGTGTATTTCACTTCTTTCATATTATTTGCTTTTAGATCTTTAAAGGACTACTCCTAATCATAACATTCCTTCTTTGAGAATATAGATGTTTAGTGATAATACTTTGTGATATGTTTTTAAGAAACTGTAATTTTGCTTGGATTCTTCTTTCTTTTTCTTCTTCTTTATCATCATCATGATAATGAACTGAGTGCTTTCTACGTACGGGCACTGTCCTGAGTGCTTTATATATATATATTCCTTCATGTAATCTACAAGAGGAGTACACTTTTAACCTGTATTTTAAAGATGAGGGAATTGAGGCAGGGAGGTGATGTGACTTGCCCAAGGTCACATGGTAAGTGTTCGAGCCTGTATTTGAACTCCAGAGCCCAGCTA